TTTCCGATTTATTTAACTTCTAATGAAAAAAAACCTAAAAATTTCAAAGGAAAGATATATTAAAGTACACTTAAAATTTAAAAAGTCATTGACGGAGACAAAAAAAAGCTTTCAAAGCCCCTAGCTGAAAGGGAGCACTCACAGTGAAACACTCAATGTATATTTATATCTACACCAAGGTATCTTTGGGGTCGTATTAGTCGTTGACATATCCCAGGTATTGTAACCCGCTAAAGCGTCATATAATATAGCATAACATAATATAATACTAGTCTGTACGCAAAGGCATTGTTCCGCCGTCCTCGGGTTCAAGTAGACACGTGTCAAGTGGAATTCGTCTATCCCGATCTGAAAATTGCGTATGTGGAGATAATATGATATGCATAATAGAATATACTAAAAAAAAAAAAAAAAAATTCATAACGCAGTGTCTGGGTAACCCCATCAAAGTGTAATAATATTTATATTAGGGTGTAGTCCAATAGGGGTAGTTCTCCGTAGGGTGACGCTTCTACTACATTATTATATATTTATATACATAGACGAGGATCTAGGAGTGCCGTACACGCATGTGACGTCTTAACGATCATTAAAAATTAATAAATTTTTTTTATTAATTTTTAAGAGCAATTAAATAATTACAATTTTTGCAGTTAAAATTGTCCGTGGAAAAATGTGTAGAGCTTACAGTTTAAATTGTAGGGATTTAATTATTTTTACCAATAAGATTTTTCAATAAAAAATTGTAAATTTAACAACTCTAAAGTGGATTTTTTAGTCATTTGAAATATTAAAGCAGTACTTAAATTTTATTTTGGGAGCTTTCAGTATTCGGGAACTATTAATTCATAAATGAACCTGTAAGAATTAAGATTTCCCGGTGGAATATTTTTTGGTTAATTAACAAAATATTTTAAACTTTAATAAATAATATAAATTATACTGTGAACTAGTAAAAGCCGAAGGTTTATAAAAGAGCTGGTAATTATTACAGCCTCTACACTATAGAATTCTTACACTTTTTGTTGCTAGGATTTACCACTACTACACTAACCAATAAATTTAATTATAGAGGAAGTAGTTTTAGAAAACTTTAAATGTTAAAAGTAAAATTCCAAGTTTGTCAATTTTAACAGTTTTAAATTGTAATATTTAAAGGTTGTTAGTAAATCGTTTAAATACGAGAATAACTTGTTTGGTTTTGTTGTTGTGGATTGGCCGTGTGTCTAGAGGATGTGTCTTAAAATCAAGAGGTCGAGTGTTCGAGTCCGTCATCCGGCAGAACAAATAAAAGTTTGTTACTTTACCAACGAGGATGCAAAAACTGTAACCAACAAGGATTCGAGTGTCATCCCCTCTTTCATTTATACTATTTTAGATTTCAACGCTGGAAAATTTATAGTTTTAATAAGAATTTTTGGTGTTGGAAAAAGAAACAAAATACCGACTTGGTTGATAAGGCTTCAGAAATTTGTAATCAAAATTAGCGTCGGACTGTTATTACTAAGTATTATAATTTCTTTGCAAAAATTAGTGTAAGGGTGTAACTTTTAAATCATAATTAGAAACTAATAAAATTCAAAAATTAAAATATTTATCCTAGTCACCCCAGTAGTAGTTTTTGCCTTAAAATATTGAGGATTTAAGGATGTAAGTAAAAAAAAAACACAGATTTAAATAACAATGCCATTTTTAATAATTATTTCAACAACATTACAATGTCCATGCAGTTTATCCTTTATTTCAATTACATTCGCAGTATTTCGGGGTTACTTGTCTCATTATCATTATAATAATAATTATTATTATTCTTAATATTATAATTACTATTATTTTTATTATTAATATTATTATTTTCATATACCATCCATTATTTCAAGATACTTTCATGTTCATTTAAATATATTTCTTTCATTTGTTCAGATTAAATGATTATTATTCTTATTATTATTATTATTAATTAATAATTCTTTTTTATTTTTTATAGCGTAGATAATTAATAATAAAATTTAAATATTCACAACTATATATTAATAAAATCAAAGCTTTCATCTAATTTCAATAATAAATCTAGTTCAAATTTAATTAATCATTTAAATAATATTAATTACGTACAATAAATAGTTTTGGAATTTAATCAGATAAATTTTTTCAATGTTTTTTCTGACAAAAAAAATTTTTCCCATTTAAAGTTAATAATAATAATTGAAAATAAATTTAAGTCAACTTTTTAATTTCAATATTGTTAATTTATAATTAATTTAAAATTACCGTATAATAATTATTATTTTAATTTTATTCAATTATCTAATGAATATATGAACTTTTTCTATGTAGTTAATTAATTTTTTATAATTAACTTCAAATCAATAAAAATATTCAATTTATTATTATTATTATTATTGATATTTTATTTACTAACTTTATATTTTAAGACATCTATACAACTGATATAGTCGATATATTTTTTTCTTCTCTATAATGTATATATATATATATATATTTATATATGATATATTTTTCAATATTTTCATTTTTATTTATATATTTATGTATTCAATATTTACGATATGTTACAATAGGCGAATTATTGATTTAAATGAGTGAAGTACAATTAATATTTTAATTATTAACATTTAACAATAATTAATAAGAAAATTTATTTATTAATTCTAAATTAACTCACTATGCAACTAGAATAAAAATTAAAAAATTAATTTAAACAAAAATTAATTTTTAAATCCAGTAAAAAATTTTTTTAATAAAATTTTAACATTTTATAAAATAAAAAAAAAAAAAATTTTTTTTTTCAATAATATTGCTTAGAAAAATTTTAATTAATTAAACGTTGAAAAATTTTTCTCTAGTTGCATAATTAAAAAAAAATTTTATATCAACTTATAAAAAGTTATTTACATGAAAATACTCAATAAAAAAAAAAATGAAAAGTGCTAATTGTAATTTATTAATATAATTAAAAAATGGAAAATTAATTAACACCCATTCAGCATTCGTAACCTTCTACCTCCTAGAGATTAATCGGCATTAATCAACAATTTAAAAAATTCGATATGTTCTGTACTTATTATTAAGATTAATGACAAAAATAAATTTCATTTACATTATTAAATAAAATGCTAGTTTAATTAATAATTATTAATTAATTTAACCAAGCAAAGTCAACCAATTAATGGCTACAGTTAATAATCAATAACCTCTAAAAAATTTCAAATTGTTTCAACGGATATATCTATTAATTAATTAATCAAGTATTACATAACAATAACTTTTGTTCCGAGGCACTGCAAAGTCAAAGCATCCAATATACAGTTACATTACAATAACCTTACAACTAATAACTTATAATTAATTACTATTAATCATCCTAATAATATGTATCTTCATTGATAATTATAATTATCAATTAATGTTGATAATATTTTCTGCGACTCGCAACGCCTACGAGTATTGACGAGTAGGTGAGGATTAACCGCGACATTTTTAATTGTCTAATCCCCTTACGAATAAAAAACTAAACGGTAATTTTAAAAAAAAAAACACATTTTGGAAGCTTAAAATTATCGTTAACCAAAAATAATTAATAAGTCGACCGAAAGCTCATCAGCCCCTACGATTACATTAATTTATTAATAATTATTATTATAATTCATATTAACCTTATTATATTACTTAATTTTATAATAACTAATCATTAAAATTTATAATTGATTAAAAGCAAATTTATTAGCACGCACCCGACCTACGGAAGTCCAAAATCTGAATTCCTTTGAAAACGACTCGGTACCTCCCACATTCATCAATATGATTAATGTCGCGTTAATAATTACATTTAAGATTAATGTCACCATATCTGATCAAATAAAACCGCATTTGACCAAATTTTACCATTTATGATGATATATGTGACCATATCTGATCAAATTTTGTGCTTTTATCTGACCAAATATGAACCATATGAACATATTTGGTCACTGGTGACCATATCTGACTACTTTCAACGATATATGATCTTATATGATCAGATTTAACCATATCTGATCGAACATGGTCATATTTGACCAGATTCAATTATATATGATCCCACGAGACTAAATTTGACTATATCTGATCAAATTTCGTGCTTTTATTTGACCAAATATGAACATCCTGATTACATGTGACCATATCTGACTACTTTTAACCATACATGATCAGATTTGACCATATCTGATCAGATAGTATGTTTGTATCTGATCAAATGTCGCCATATCTGACTCAATAGGACCATATTTAAGTAAATATAATCATATCTAACTAAATATGACCATATGATCAATATCGATGAGGTTTAACTATATATGATTTCATACGATAAAATTTGATCATATCTGTTAAGATGTTGTACTCATATTTAATCATGTATGACAATACTTGATGAACCATGACTATATCTGACTAAATATGATCATATCTGATTGCATGTGACCACACCTGATAAAATACGGCTATACCTGATCAGAATTAATCATATGTGATCAGATTAGATCAATGATTACAGCTATATCAAAATGTTTGATAATTAACGCGACATCAATGAACACTAAATCCATAATCTTAATAATAATAATAATCCCTAATAATAATTAACCTATTAACGACTTACTTGCTATTTTGGGCGCCCAACTATTGACAAACAGCTCTATAATAAAAAGTGTTAATCAATACTGGGCACCTGATATGTTATCCTGGTTCAGCAACGATAAACTAACCTCCTAGCTGCGATAAACTCAAGTTCCAGGTTCCCTTGCTGACTGGGAGCACAGGAACTTATAAACAAATAATAAAATAAAATAAATAACCACCATTAACTAACAGAACCACAATCACCACACGAAATAATAATCACAGCACTGTAACACTCTCCCTATAATAATGAAACCATGGAAGCCTACCTACGAAGACGGATTAAAAAAAAAACGTTAATCGTAAACGTTACTCAATTAGTACATTCCTTGCCTAAACGGATTAGCATCTTGTCTAGGTTCTGGTTCTGCTCTCCTAAAGGGGTTAGCGTCACCAACTTGTCCCTGCTGTTCGGTGTAGTTCTGCTGGTACGGTCTCTGCCCTTGTCCTTGTCCTTGCCCCTGTCCCAGTCCCTGTCCTTGTGCTTGCCCCTGTCCTTGTCCATATTGATCATACTGGGCGTAAGATTGGGGCTGCTGCGTATAGGAGGTCTGTTCCTGATAATTCCCTTGATATCCTTGATAACCATTGTCCTGGTCAACGTCAGTTTCCATCCTCTGCTGAGTGAGATGATTGCCAACGTCGCCGCTGATGGGCCGCTGCTCCTGGAGCACGTAGGTCTGGTACTCCTTATCAGGCGGGTCTTGCATCAGGACATTAGCTTCGTCCTGGAAGGGCTTGAAGTCGTAGATATGTCTGAGGTAATACAACACTGGGACGTACAACAGATTGGAGAAAGCGATTCCGATGTTAAGAGCCGTAAAACCAATTGCTTCAACGACTCCGCCTGCAATTATCGGTCCTACGGCGTAGGCCAAGCTGTAGGATATGTCAGCGATCGCGTAGATGCTTCCGTAGACCGATACATACCGAACGTCCACAAGATATCCCAACGTAGGAAGCAACGCAGTGTCTATAAGCGCTATTCCAAAGCAAATCCCGCAGATCGGCAGCATCAGGAATTTGTAAGAGGTCGAAAAGGGGATGATGAAGCAGCAGAGTCCTTCAAGAGCGAGACCTCCCGCTGCCATAAGCCACTGATGCTGAGGATACTGCTTGGCCATCTTTACAGTTATCACCACACCAAAGACATGTGGGAAGAAAGCAGGCAGCCAGATCATTCCCATCTTCCAGTTGTCCTTAGTGATGTGGTCTTCCATCCACAACGAGATAGTAGGCTCCAAAAACGCTAGAGCTACGTTGGACATCATCAACGCACCAGCACAAACTGCAATGTAAGGATCCATAAACAGCCGCCAGATTGGAACAGTTGGGGTCTGCTGGCGATCATGACTCTCCTTGATTTGTTCCTTGAGCGGCTTCATTACCAGCAGCAGCATGAATCCATCAGCTAAAGACACAAATGCCAGGATCAGAAATGGCATTTCTTTACCGGCAAACTGGTACAAGGCACCTCCAAACGGCGGAGCCACTAGACACCCAAAGCTGATGAACGCCAGGGCAATTCCCAGCGCTTTTGACCGCTCAGCTTCTTCAGTAAACCTATCTGCTATCATCGCCAGGCCTGATGTGTCTGCAAAAGCAGAGCCTACTCCTTGCAAACTGCGAGCAAAGAAGAGGACTCCGTAGCTGCGGCCGCAGGCAAACACTGCCGTTGACAGGAACATGATGCACAGGCCAATCATCATTGGGATGTCGTACCCAATCCTATCGATCAGCGCTCCTGAGAAGGGATTCACCATCAACTGGACGATGGCTTTCGAAGCAAACAGGACTCCTGTTGCCGAATCCTGTCCGTGATGACTCGGCGGTCCTGATTGGGTGGTGTTAGCAGGTTGCGGCTCGTCGTCGAAGGTTCCTATGTACTTCAGGTAATCGGGTATTATCGGGACTATCACCATGTACAGCATATTATCCAACAGAAGAGCTATCGAGACTATCACTAGGACCAATGTTCGTTGGGATTTTGGCTCCTGAAGCTTGTCCCAAACTATGTCCTTAACTTCGCCCACTTCGAGGTTTATCACTGGGATCTTTATTGACGCCATTGTTAAGGGTTACTTGATAGGTGATCAATGTCCTTGGTTGGTGGCTTTGTTAGATCACGTTGGGGGGGGTCGGTTAATTATAACACTGCCGAAAACGGAAAGAAATCCGCGAAGCTCGGGATCGATGACCGCATCAGGCCGGGCCGGGGATAACCTACAACAAATTAACCGTGATTGGTGGTGATCATTAAGTGGTCATGCAATTGTTATCGGAGGGAATGTTTCTATTTTACAGAAGGGACGGTTAGCTTTGTCAGAGAGCCCTGGCCCGGCCTGGTCAATGTTAGACGATTGTCTAGAGCAAAAAGAGAACCTGGCAATCGATCACCATGATCACCATGATCAGTGATCTGTTAACTGCTAACGTTATCGTTAGGGAGCCAGTTGATCGTTTGGTAGCTAAGCAAGCCGGGTCAGGCTCCCTTCTAAGCAGACTCTAGGGTCTAGGGGGAATCTTTTGTCGTCTTACCTGAGTTGGTGGAAAATCTCTGCCTCAAGGATGATGCGAGACGTTGGGGCCCCGGCAGCGCCGGAAGTCCGGCCAGTAGACCACTCAGTGTGGATGATATGTCGTTAGCACTGTCTTCGTCCCTCGAGTCGTTCGACGACTCCTTGGCTCCTTGGGTCCCCGGGCCCTCCACCTTTTCAGCCGAGTCCTCTACCGAGTCTGCAACATAGTTATTGATCGGTACGGCTCATGACCCACTAAGTTAATGACTACCTTTCAACCACTAGCTTGATTACTCTCTGAGGTATCAAGGCTGGTAATTGTGCTTTTTTAGGTGGCAGAAAAATTTGGGTTAAGATTTTTCTCAAATTTTTTGGGTGAGTTAAAAATTATTAATTTTTTTTTTTTAACACTTGATTTAATTTTAATTCAAAATTTAGAGATCAAAATATTCAAATTAAAAAAAAAAATTTTATTTCAATTTTTAACGCTGAATTTAAGAAGTAAATTTTTGGATTTTTAAACAAACTGGCTAATTAATTAATCAAAATTAAAAATTATTATTAATTCACTAGATTTTAATTAAAAAATATTTTTTTACTTCACCAAATTTTTAATTTATTAAAATAAAAAATTTGACGTAAAAAAAAATCTTTAACAAATTTAAAAACATAAAAAAATTTACTAGAGTTTAAAAATTTCAAAAAAATAAAAAATCACACCCGATACTTTTGTATAAAAATAAAAGAAAAAATAAAAATGTGCCATAAAAGCTCAAAAATGAAAAAAATAAAACAATTACTTACTTAACCGATGGGCTCCCGATTGCAGGGACGTCCCGGTGTGTCTCTCCGTCGGGTAGCTTTGAAACGTCTGGCAACGTAGTTCTCCCCGCCACCACGTTAGCCTCCATCCGGGCTACCCCTCGCTCGGAGTTTCAAGCACCTTGCGCCCCACTCCGGCGTGACTTACAGCTTTCGGGCGCAAGCTTCGGCTCCGTCGCCCGGGATTGGTCGAGCGGGGCTCAAGTGCGTCAGCCCATTTGAATCCGCCCTCCCCCTCCCCCTTGCCCCTCTTCTAGGAGCCTCATCCCTGGCTCTCCGCATAGCATCCTTCATCCCTCTCGCGGTGGAGCTTTGCCTCACGGACTCGAGCATCAATAGTGATGCCCCCCTCTATTGTCAGTGGTAGCCTCTCCCTCTCGCCCTCGCCCTCCCCCTCCCTGGAGAGCCGCACACCGATGCTCCCCTCCAGCCCACGCGGCTAGAACGCCAGGTATAGACCAGCCTGCAGACGGTCGATGTTGCACGGTATTTCTGGCACCAGGTCGATACCTCGTACTTTGTACCTCGTACCTCACCACCTGTGTTCTCTGTATAAACGCGTTATCACATACGTACTAGCTGCGCGGACATTTTTCTGATTATTCCGTTTTGGTATTGAGTTACTCTTTTTTCTTTTGAGTTGATAGAGAAAATTTTGTCACTTTTCATGCATAATATTAGATTTAGAGGGGAAATTTTCTATTAATTTTGTTTAATTTCTCGGAAATTGATCATTAATTTTTGGCGAAAAAAATTTGAGTAGATTGTAAGAATTTTTACATGGAGAGAAATTTATAGGAAATTTTCTAAAAATTATGGGAATGGTTCCTATAATATTATAGGAATGGTTCTTACCCCCGTGAAAAAAAAAAATATATGTCGAAATACATAAAAAATATATTAAAAATCTATAAAAAATATATAAATATACAGTAAAAAATTTTGCGTCATTGCGTCAAAAAATTTTTATGTTAAATATTTGTGAAAATGAAGTTAGCTGACATTTCAAAATTTTTAGAAATTTTTTATTGAAGAAATATCAATTAAACAATTAAAAAAAAAAAATTTCACCTGTAAAAAACTTGAAAAACTACAAGTGCAATTTTTTAGAAATATTTTTTTAGTTATAATTTAATTTAAAAAAAAAAATCAAAAATTTTTAGACGTCTGCCAACTTCAGAGTCAAAAATACTTAACATTTTTTGTGTTAATTTAACATTTTTCTGTGTTAATTTAACACAATTAATGTTAAATTTACACTTAAAAGTGTTCAATATTTAACACAATTTTTTGACGCAATGACCCAAAATTTTTTACTGTGTATATAAATTATGTATAGTAAATATAATTTTTAAAACTAACTTTTGGCCAATTTTTATATATATTTCAAATATATTTTAGATATATTCAAAATATATTTTTAGCTATGTATTTTTTATGTATTTTAAGATATATCTTGAATATATCTAAAATATATTTAAAATCGGCCAAAAGTTAGTTATTAAAAATATATTAACTATACATATTTTTTATAGATTTTTAATATACTTAAAGGGATATTTTCTCACTATACAATTAGAGGAGCCAAGTAGATATGGAAATTCATTGTTTATTTTTACAATTTCATTTTATTTTTAAAACAAATTATTTATTTACAATACATACGTTGAATATTTATTATTCATAAATATATGGTTTTTTTATAATTCTACAAGTAGAATTTTTTTACAAATTCTCTCTATAATAATTTATTTGTTAATAAATCCTAAAAATCGCCATATTAATTAGTAATTTTGCATGTGAAATTTAATAAATTTATTTTAGTGTAAAAAATTCAGCGTTTAATGGGAAGAATGCCGTAAATTTTTTGTAAGTGTTAAAAAAAAGTAGAGGAAAAACATAAATGCAATAGTATTTATTTTTTAATTCAAATGCCTTGAGGTTAAGAGTAATTGTAATTATAAAAGTACAAAGGATTATGACCTCTGAAACGTCTCTGTATGAAATTAGTGGGCGTTGCCATTGGAGATTAAACTTTTAAATTAAATGTCATATGCAATCGCCCTTTTATGTTACATGTTACATTATTTATTATGTTTTCCAATAATTTTCCTGCTTTTTCTTAGTTCAATAATATTTTTCTAGAATAAAATTAATTTTTTTTTTTTCTAGGTCGAAAGTCGACCCTTTTACCTCGTGTCTATTATTAAAGATAATAATAAGCAAATTGAAATGTTTAGTTAAGTCATAGAAGTGTGTAAAGAATATAAAAAAGACCACCAGCGGTGATTTCATTAAAAGAAAAATCTTTGAACAAACTGTAAACAATGCAACTTGTATTACGTATTAAATTTAAATGCAACAAGACGTGACCTGCATTCTCGGTCAACATACATTGTATTTTTTACTCACACTTTTAATTAAAATTAACTACTTCTAACTTATTATTTGTGAAAAATTATTTGTAATAAATTATTTTTAATTTATATCGTTTTTTTTTTTTTTTACAGTGAAAATTATTTATTTTATTTAAATTACTGTTTTGAAATTTTAATAAAAATAATGTTTGTCGGTAATAAATACAAGGGTAGAATAATATTACGGTAAAAAGTTTTAATAAAAATAAATAATTTTAATGGGTGTGTTTAGGTAGTTGGAGTAATGAAATTTGTAAAATAAAATCTAAAGTATCGTAAGTGATTCAAACTGTTGGATAAGAAGACTCGTCGAGCGAGTAACTTGAATACCAAACGGGCGAGCGTGTAATTCACTTGCTTCCGATCGAGCTCACTCAATTCCCTTTTCAGTGAAAAAATATTTACTTTTACTTTTAAAGAGTTTTTTTTTTTTAATTCATAATAAAATTATTGTTGGTTTGTTTTTTTTTTTTTTTTTTAATAAAAATTTAATTAGTTAAACTTCTACAACATTAGAGACCATAAATCATGATATAATAAAATATCAGTGACCATATGGAAGGATATAAGATGTCAATAAGAAGAGATATATACAACAAGATATCAATGATGTCATAAAAGATCTTAAAGAATACATGAAATCACACGGGATATCAATGGTCATATATGATGTTATATATATAAGCAATGATCATATATGACGTCATAAATAATGCTAATGACCATATGCCATCATGTAGGATGTCAATGATCATATATGACGTCATAAAAGACACTAATGACCAAATGCCATCACGTATGATGTCAATGGTCATATATGACATCAATAGTAACATGTGACATCATAAAAAACATTAATGACCACATGCCAGCATGTAGGATGTCAATAGTCATATATGACGTCATAAAAGACATCAATGGTCATATATGATGTCATAAAATACCTTGGTGATCACACCAGATAAAAATGATCACAAATTACATCATAAGAAACATCAATGATCACCTATAACATCATATATATGAGCAATGACCACATATGATGTCATAAAAGACATCAATGGTCATATGTAACGTCATGAAGGACGTCACTGATCACATTGCTTCACATAAGAAGTTAATGATCACATAAAACATCAATAATCACATACAAACATTATTTGTGATATGTTCTAATCATTGTATGACATCATCTACAAAATTTCATGGTCACATTTGACTCTAATGATCACACAATGATATGTGATCAATATGCGGCATCATAAAAATGATTTATAATGACTCAGGTTTGTTTTATAAATTTTTTATTTTTTTTTTTGCTTATATATAGTAACAAAAATTTCGATAAGTGACAATTTATCGGGTAAAATAAGCGATTTCATTTAAATCGTTAACTAAAATAAAAAAAAAAATTCTTATATTAGAGAAGGAAACAAAATGGTAAATATTGTTGTAGATTTCGTGGGGTTTTATTTTCAAGGTCAATGTATAATAAAAGAGTTCGTCGTAGCTCGAATATTAGATAAATTAATCGAAGTCGAGGATCAGATTTTGATAGACACAACGGCGCTACCAATTGACTCTAATGCTCTTCGTTATGATGATCAATTCCAGATGTTTTATAAAAAAAGTAGCATCCGATGGGATAAAAGAAGTAATCACACTCGCGAAGATATAATAGCAAAAATAGAGAGTCTCCGTCATCACAATATTTACCTGCGCGATAAAATACACGCTACTTTTCTAGCCGATTACTTGAACTTAAGCATAAATTCTTTCAACTCATTATCCGACTCAACAGATTTCGATCCCTATAACGAAATAATGAAAACAAATTGTAGAAATCATCAAAATAGACAAAGTTACTGCGTTAAAAATAATGTGATGATCATGGCAGAGTGGCTGAAGGAAAAATTGAAGGAATCTTCAGAACCGAAAGAAAGATTGGCGATTATTAATTATGTTGGAAACTCGGTTGATAATGATATCAATAATTTCAAAATTACAAAATTACGAGTTCACTGTTTTGACAACAACGGTACGGTAATTAGCGATAAACTCATCTTTTCCGCATCTTTCAATTCTATCAGAAATACATCAGTTGAGGAATTCGAAAGACATAAGGGACGTTATCGTGAAAAATATGGAGTTGATTACATACCGTCTTTCCTTCAAAATTTGTCGATAGTAAATCAATTTAGGAAAATTTTACTTGATAACAAAATTGAATTCGTTTTTGTTGAGAATTCTACGCAGAAGAATCATTTGCTTAGATTAATGGGTTCGTCGTTCAATATCTATAGTTTAGATAATTACGGTCACTTCGGAAGTATGGAAGACGATGATAGTCTTAAAAAAGCGGTTAACAATATGGTCGATATTGTAATTAGGAAAAAGTTGTATACGATCATCAGGCAGCAAAATGAAACGATTGACATCTCCGATGATGATAATACAGAATAATTCTTTTGTGTGAATCTAATTTGGGAAAATCATTATTGTAAATCAAAAATTATAAAAAAATTTTTTTTGAATTCCAAATAAAAAGCTCGAAGTTAGTTTAAAGAAAGTATACTCACCTATGACATCATTCGTGATCATATGTGACATAATCGATGATCACCTATGACATCATTCGTGATCACATATGAGTTTAATGGTTATGTGTGATGCTTGTATGACATCATCTATGATCTTACATAATTACGTTTTAGATTGATGACCACATGTGATGTCACACATGCCAATTATCAGTTTAATGATCACATATGTCTTGAATGATGTCATATACGACTACTGATATTGTCATTGACATCATATATGACCATTCATGTCTTATATGATTTTATGAAGTCGACGATGACTTTTATGACATCATATGTGATCACTGATATTTTCTTTTACATCACATATGAC